GGAACTATCACAGTACTCCTCATGTCTGTCCGTATCATCTGCTTTCAAATTCAGAGAGTGATCCGATTCGATCCGGATAAGCGTATAGATGGACAGACGGTATCACGTTTTTTCTCGAACGCTTTGACACCTGGAAGAGAACGGTTTCTCGCTACACGTAGGTATCGTCCATTGCCGACAACGCAATTTTCGTCTAATCGAGCGAYCGTCGATGCCATTGAAGATCAAACATCACCAAACGACGGAACATCTACTACTCTATCCAAGGGAAGTACGAGAGTGCATCTGYASCAACGCGCGGTACKATCAGGTAACTGGTATTGCGTTCTCCGTTTTCTTCATTGTGAAAAAGTATTCGTACGATAGCTTCCATTGTGTCGTCTAGTTTTCTTTCTTTCTCCACTCCCTGGCCGGAACACATTCAATAATCTACAAAATTATATCACAATGCATCGGGTATTAGCATCAGCACTGGTTCTCGCCGCAACGGCGTCGGCCTTCGCGCCATCGGCTCAGCAGCAGCAGCGACAAGCCCAGCACGCGGTCTCGACCATGCCCCTCCAGGCCACAAAACTCGCTGCTCTGCCTACCATTCCCAATCCCTTCAAATCGCTTCCGTGGAACRTCGAAAAAGCCCAAAAGTCCCAGGAGCGCAAGATCAAGCTCGAGCGCTCGAAAATGCACCGCGAACTCGGCATCGCCCAGGACGCAACCTACGAAGAGATTGTCGAGGTCACCCAGCGAATGATCGAGGATGCCCCCGACCGAAAGCGACAGATCCAGATCGAGGTCATGAAGGACAAGATTTTGCAGGCCCGTTTGAACGAGCGCCTCGCCGGTTTGGTGTCGGACATTGTCAGCGACGACGCCAAGGCCCAGGATGACGAGTCGTAAGTTTGTGTCGGTTCGTGTTCTGCTTCGTTGTGTTCCGGCACGCCATGCTCTGATTTGGTTCTCTCACCGCGGTTTGCTATCGTTTTCCCTTTGGAAATGCCGTGTTTTTGCCGAAATTTTGTTTTTGTCGGATGCGCTGCCGTCGACGATTTGTTCCCCGCTGTTGTGATGAACCATCGCTGCCGAACCGTTCTTGTAACACTGCTAACCACGACTGGACAACAGAAACCTCGAAGAGCAAGCGATCGCAGAAATGAAAGACAAGAAGGCACCAAAGGAATGGAACGCCCCCGCCTGGACGCAGGGACTCATTGTCAAGCCCGACCAGGCCCACATCAAATCGCAGGTTCAGATCTGGGGTGTCATGACGTTGATGGGAGTCGCACTTCCCCCCTTTATCCAGTACGCCAATCGTTTTTCGTGGATGGTCTGCGTTGCCCAGCTTTCGTTCCGGGGCATGGCCAAGCAGGAAGGCGGAGGTGGCGGCTTCGGTGTGATGCGAATGGGGAACGCACCCGGTGACAAGAAGCACCTTAAGGTTGCCTGGCTGTTGGGCATCACCATCACGATCGTCGGTGCGGTCGCCACCTACGGATTGATGCCAGCCTGGGCCAAGGGACACCGAATGACGCCCGCYATTGCCTTTGGAATGCGAAACTTTATCTACGGCGTAGCGTGCTCCTACCTCCAGCCTTACAAGGGATAAATAACGATAATGCTACACTCCACTGTACTGTATATAGAAATTCACTAATCATCAACAAATTCAATGCATGGCAACGATGTACCGTACGGTGCACTTGGGAGCAGGTGCTTCGGTACGCACACCATCGCCACAGCGTGGCCAGCCGAGCCCGAGGGAAACAAACGAACACATCGTGTTGTGTTGTGTTGCGTCGTACGATGTTATGGCAATACACCGCAGGATGTGTACGCACCTGGAATCCACTGCCGGTTTCCGACGGATCGCCTCGTATTGCCTTCGAACGCTGCCATCGAGCGCAGAAAGAATCGGGTTTTTTGTAGCTTAGTTTTTGCGTCGTGTGCTCGTCCCGAAGGAATTTCGACACAAAACCCATATGACTACCGGTACAGTACAGTAGTGACGACTGTCCCGCTCAACCACGCGATCGCGCGGATGGCACGGTGCCGTGACAACCGCGTTGACGCGGTGCCCGGATCGTTTCCTCCCACCCACCCAGGGGCAAATCCGGAACAAACGACGCCATCCTATACACATAGCACCGACGTACCACAACCTAATAGTGTTAGTGTTTGCAAGCAGAATCCGAGCAGGGTGCCGCGTACGAAGAACCTTCTAGTCTATCTTACAGTATTGTGCTATCGTATCCTTTGCTGCTGTTGCGGTGTTGCTCCGGGTTCGTCACGCCACGCCACGCCACAAGACGGCAACCCGGTGCAAAAGCGGTGTCTTCCGCTCGGTCCCCATCCCGTGGCTGCCGCGCTGCAACGGGGAGTCTCGTTCGCTTGCGATGNGGAACTATCACAGTACTCCTCATGTCTGTCCGTATCATCTGCTTTCAAATTCAGAGAGTGATCCGATTCGATCCGGATAAGCGTATAGATGGACAGACGGTATCACGTTTTTTCTCGAACGCTTTGACACCTGGAAGAGAACGGTTTCTCGCTACACGTAGGTATCGTCCATTGCCGACAACGCAATTTTCGTCTAATCGAGCGAYCGTCGATGCCATTGAAGATCAAACATCACCAAACGACGGAACATCTACTACTCTATCCAAGGGAAGTACGAGAGTGCATCTGYASCAACGCGCGGTACKATCAGGTAACTGGTATTGCGTTCTCCGTTTTCTTCATTGTGAAAAAGTATTCGTACGATAGCTTCCATTGTGTCGTCTAGTTTTCTTTCTTTCTCCACTCCCTGGCCGGAACACATTCAATAATCTACAAAATTATATCACAATGCATCGGGTATTAGCATCAGCACTGGTTCTCGCCGCAACGGCGTCGGCCTTCGCGCCATCGGCTCAGCAGCAGCAGCGACAAGCCCAGCACGCGGTCTCGACCATGCCCCTCCAGGCCACAAAACTCGCTGCTCTGCCTACCATTCCCAATCCCTTCAAATCGCTTCCGTGGAACRTCGAAAAAGCCCAAAAGTCCCAGGAGCGCAAGATCAAGCTCGAGCGCTCGAAAATGCACCGCGAACTCGGCATCGCCCAGGACGCAACCTACGAAGAGATTGTCGAGGTCACCCAGCGAATGATCGAGGATGCYCCCGACCGAAAGCGACAGATCCAGATCGAGGTCATGAAGGACAAGATTTTGCAGGCCCGTTTGAACGAGCGCCTCGCCGGTTTGGTGTCGGACATTGTCAGCGACGACGCCAAGGCCCAGGATGACGAGTCGTAAGTTTGTGTCGGTTCGTGTTCTGCTTCGTTGTGTTCCGGCACGCCATGCTCTGATTTGGTTCTCTCACCGCGGTTTGCTATCGTTTTCCCTTTGGAAATGCCGTGTTTTTGCTGAAATTTTGTTTTTGTCGGATGCGCTGCCGTCGACGATTTGTTCCCCGCTGTTGTGATGAACCATCGCTGCCGAACCGTTCTTGTAACACTGCTAACCACGACTGGACAACAGAAACCTCGAAGAGCAAGCGATCGCAGAAATGAAAGACAAGAAGGCACCAAAGGAATGGAACGCCCCCGCCTGGACRCAGGGACTCATTGTCAAGCCCGACCAGGCCCACATCAAATCGCAGGTTCAGATCTGGGGTGTCATGACGTTGATGGGAGTCGCACTTCCCCCCTTTATCCAGTACGCCAATCGTTTTTCGTGGATGGTCTGCGTTGCCCAGCTTTCGTTCCGGGGCATGGCCAAGCAGGAAGGCGGAGGTGGCGGCTTCGGTGTGATGCGAATGGGGAACGCACCCGGTGACAAGAAGCACCTTAAGGTTGCCTGGCTGTTGGGCATCACCATCACGATCGTCGGTGCGGTCGCCACCTACGGATTGATGCCAGCCTGGGCCAAGGGACACCGAATGACGCCCGCYATTGCCTTTGGAATGCGAAACTTTATCTACGGCGTAGCGTGCTCCTACCTCCAGCCTTACAAGGGATAAATAACGATAATGCTACACTCCACTGTACTGTATATAGAAATTCACTAATCATCAACAAATTCAATGCATGGCAACGATGTACCGTACGGTGCACTTGGGAGCAGGTGCTTCGGTACGCACACCATCGCCACAGCGTGGCCAGCCGAGCCCGAGGGAAACAAACGAACACATCGTATTGTGTTGTGTTGTGTTGTGTTGTACGATGTTATGGCAATACACCGCAGGATGTGTACGCACCTGGAATCCACTGCCGGTTTCCGACGGATCGCCTCGTATTGCCTTCGAACGCTGCCRTCGAGCGCAGAAAGAATCGGGTTTTTTGTAGCTTAGTTTTTGCGTCGTGTGCTCGTCCCGAAGGAATTTCGACACAAAACCCATATGACTACCGGTACAGTACAGTAGTGACGACTGTCCCGCTCAACCACGCGATCGCGCGGATGGCACGGTGCCGTGACAACCGCGTTGACGCGGTGCCCGGATCGTTTCCTCCCACCCACCCAGGGGCAAATCCGGAACAAACGACGCCATCCTATACACATAGCACCGACGTACCACAACCTAATAGTGTTAGTGTTTGCAAGCAGAATCCGAGCAGGGTGCCGCGTACGAAGAACCTTCTAGTCTATCTTACAGTATTGTGCTATCGTATCCTTTGCTGCTGTTGCGGTGTTGCTCCGGGTTCGTCACGCCACGCCACGCAACAAGACGGCAACCCGGTGCAAAAGCGGTGTCTTCCGCTCGGTCCCCATCCCGTGGCTGCCGCGCTGCAACGGGGAGTCTCGTTCGCTTGCGATGCGATGCGTGCGCCGGCGTTGGGACTCCATCGCGTCGCGTCGCATAGCGTCGCGTCGTTGCGCTTGCGCTTGCGTGTCCGTTCCAAACCCGGCCCTGCCCTGCCGTGCCCTACTCGTGCGGGAAGCAGTTCTCCCGAATGTCCCGGGCGCCCCCAAAGTAGGGGTCCCCGGAGGTGTCGGGGCCGGAGCGGACGTTGCACTGGGCGGACTTTTGCAGGCTGGTAATRTAGTGGAACCAGCCGGTCGGAACGTAGAGGATCTCGCCCTCCTTGACGACCGTGCTCACGGCCTCGGCCGTTCCGGCCATTTCCATCCAGGCGGCCTCCTCGGGGGGCATKTCCCTTGCGTTGGGATCTTTCCGGTCGTCCAGGAGCGCCATGTGYCCGTAGTTGAGCATGGAGTGCCGAAAGCTCGAGTGCCCCTTGGAGGAGACGATCCCGAGCTTCTTGCACTCGCGGGGCGGGCTGAGGATGTACCGCTTGGCGCCGGTGATCATGGCGATCATGTTGCGTCCGCTGTCGTAGTGGTTCGCCGCCGTGATCCCCCGCTCCCCGAACCGGCACTGGATGCCCTTCTGGGCGTCCGGGACCCACTGAACAAAGTTGGCCTCCGTGCTGGCAAAGGAGGGCAGGTCCCTCGAGACAAAGGTAAAGGTCTTTGGGTGCTGGTACCGCTCGTCCCTCGGGACGCCGGATTGCCAGTAGTAGTGGGGGAGGTGCGGGCTGATCCCGAMRCGGTCGGCGTAGTGCGCGTGGTTGGCCCACCGGCGAAAGGTCCAGTCGTTGTCCCGCGTGGGGGGGATGCCGAGGGTGAGAACGTCCCAGAGCGGCACGTTGAAAAAGGCAAAGAAATTGTCGGGCCCCTCGTTGCACTTGCCGTTCGATCGGGGCAGGTTTCCGTGTCCGCTGTGATTGGTCCCGTCGAACTGGTCGGCCAGGTAGTCGTCGGTCCAGGTCTGGGTGGCGGCGAGGACCTCCGGAACGTTGATCAGCTTGAAGGGGAGCTTGGCGGTGCGGAATTTGAGGGCGGCCTCCATGTCGGACGGGACGTTCCAGTCAAAGTGCTGCAGGTATTCCTTCAGGACCGGGGGCGGATCGTCGAGGTTGTCCTGCGGCCAGGTTTTCATGATCTCCCGGTAGGGTTTGAGGATCGGATAGTCTCCCAGCCTGGAAGGGGGTGCGGAGAGYTTTTGCGGGGGGTATTCGTACTCGTGGTGGACGTAGTCGACGTAGGTCGACCGCTCTTTCGGGTCTTTGTTGGGAATGGCGTCGAACTCGATCTCCCAGGCCATTTTTTCTGCCTCCGGCCTGTGGACCTGGTAAAACTTCCGGTGGGTCGACTTGTGGTCGGGCGAGGCCGGGTACCTCTTTTGGTTGTGGTCTTTGTCAAAGAGCAGCTTGTTGCGTTGTTCTTGTTTGGTGGTGTCGGTTCCGGGCAGGGCGGGGACGTCGCTCATGTCGGCCCATCGAATGGAGGTGTTGGTGTTGGAGACCATCCGCTCGTTGAGTTCCTCCAGCTCCGCGAGGCGGCGCCGCATCACCTCCTCGGGGTTTGAGACTTCCTCGGGTTCGTCCTCCGAGTCTTCCCGTTTCTTCTTTCGTTTGTGTCCGTGTTTCTTTGCCTGTTTGTGTCTGTGTCCGTCTCTGTGTCTGTGTCCGTCTCTGTGTCCGTTGCCCAAGACGACTCGGTCGTGTTTGGGGTAGTCGTCGTCCCCCCAGGCGTCGTCGTCGTCGAGCGAGGGATCAAAGTACCCCCTGGGGTTGCGCCCGGGGTTGCGCCTGCTTCCTTTGCTCGCGAGAAAGGGCAGCAGGGACAGGCGGGACGGCAGGAAACGGACCCCCACCCTTGACCATTCCGCGAGGGCCAGGAGGGCCAGCGCAAGGGCCCCGGAGGCCACAACCAGCCCCAGGACCTTCCGCTGCTGGTTCCGGCGCTGCAAGAACCGCTTGCGGTGCTTGCTGTCGGAAGCGGACGGATCGTCGTCGGTCCCGGCCGGGAGGCAGCAGCCGCCCGCGCAGGCCGGAGCAGAAGGGGCGCGGCTGGTCTGCASCGGGCCGGTGTGCGATGGGTTCCGGGCCCGCGGCGGCCCGGGCTTCTCGCCTCGTTTCGTCACGGAATTCCTGGCGGTCGCCATGGTGTGTGTTTTGCTTTTGTTTCGTTTCGTTTCGATTTGTTTCGTTTCGATTTGTTTCGATTCGATTTGTTTCGCTTTGTTTTCGGTTGTTGCGTGCTGTGTACTGTATTGGTTGGATTGCAACTGGATTACAACTGGATTACAATTGGATTACAACATGGGTTGTTGCAGTTTTCGTGGTGCTTGCCCTTCTTCTTTCATGCCAAGAGCCGAAGCAGAAACCACATGAATGTCTTCAAACCCGTGCCAAGTCCTTCGAGATCACTGCGAGACAAGAGTTGTTGTCGTGAACAGTCTCGTATTCGTTGGGCACGGCATTTTAAAAAGTCCATCATTGAGAGCCGTTGGCGTACGGTATGGTACCGTACGTTTAGACATTGCGTCAATTACTGTACTGTACTGTACTGTACTGTACTGTAGACTGTAGTACAGTAACGTAATAAGAGTATCATACCGAAAGTCAAGTAGGAATTACGAGTATTGTACGGTACGTACAGTACGTACGTACGCAAAGCAATACAGTATTCTGTATTCTGCTACGGTGTTACAGTAGTAGTACTAGTAAAATGTTGAACGAGCTTGATTTATTCGCACGGTATGAGACCCTCCGAGTACTTACTATGTACGCAATCAAGCCCTAGGAAAATTCGGGCGCTAATCGAGCCCTAGGAAAAATCAGCGCAATCGAGCCCTAGGAAAAATCAGC